TGCCATTACTGATAGAGGGGGATCAGGAATCGAGAAACAAAAGCCTCCTTTTCCTGTCTGGAGGAATATAAACAGTTCCAATTCCCTAAACTATTTCTGATTTTCCAAACTCCTACCGAATACCAAGACATATATGGAAAGATAATCATGAGTGACTGAAGTTACAAGAATGATTATTATCGCAAGAGATCAAATCTGATTGACATGTGTCCAATTTGAGAGATAGAGCGGTATTTAGTAAGGTTTGGTTATTGTACTTTTCATTCGCTGCACTTCTATATGTCTGAAAACCTTTTTTTCCAGCTTATTATATATTTCCTTCTACTCTAAATCTATAAGAGCTGCGTACATACTGGATACTGTACCTAGCAGCTGTGCACACCCCACATCATTCTCTGATATAAGTAATAGATGTGTTCTGTCAGATTTTTGAATATTTTATAATATAGGTAAATCATGAGTGCAGGTCTAGAATAATCTGCATTGGGTGCTAATTTATATGCAAAATAAATTCATATTTCTTGCTATAGCCAAGCTTTTTATAATGTTCGTAAAGTTTCTAAAGGTATTTTACATATTACCAGTCTCTGACCAGTATATTTCAAATAGTGATTGTGATTTTATGGTAACACTTTTAATATTGAATAAAACTGATCAATAACAAATTTATTATATAATTTAAAAATTTCTATTCTTGGTTTACAAAAAGATTGGCAACAGTTTTAGGATCATAATTCTCCTCTTATTCAAGATCCACCATCTATTTATCTAATTTGTTATTATCTTCTTGAGAATTTTTCACATTTGTTTCATTACCAATTGATTGATTTAGATGAGGAATATCTAAATTTATCATGTCTTGCAATTTCAAAACTTGATCTTCTAGTATTTTACTATCATCATCAATATTTGATCTTTCCAAATTCATATTTAGCATGACCTGGTCTAAATCAATATCCTCTTCTTCATCATAAAAATCTGTCATTTTCAAAATTTGATGAATTTCATCAGCCGAATAACCTTGATCATAAGAAGAAAGTTCTGACTTATTGTTTGCAAGGTAATATGAATGAATTTTTGCAATTGCTTCTAAATTTTCTACCAATAACCAACCATGATGCTTTCCATGAATCTATCCACAAATAGACCAAATACGCTTATAGCTTGCTGTATGTGATGATATCAAAAATAGTTTAATAGCAAGTTATTGAAGATAGAGTGGTTTCATCTCACAATTGTTCTACCATATTAGAGGAGTGTCATAATTAGATATGTAGAAACTGTTGTATGATTGTTTTTTTTCATGGTACTGGTGTAATTGAGTGATTAATACTTCTCCAGCTTGATTTTTTGAATGACTATTTTGCTTTAGCATTTTGGCGATTTCTTTAATTTTAATTATTTGTTGTCAGATAGTAGCCATGGCTGTACCAATTCATTCTATTTGTCCTGATACAATTCCAATACCTAATAAAAAATATTAAGTTTAAATAATTTTAATAATTTACAAAATTGAATATTTACCTCTATATTCTGGATGTAAAAAATAAGTTAATAAATGTTTATCAAAATCAAATTCTTCAAATCGCTTATTAAAAACTTGAATGCAATAATGTCAGAATATTTTGTGATCTTCTTTTGAAATTTTTTTAATTGCAGTACCAAGACAGGTAAGATCAAAAAAATAATCTGCTATATTTGCATTTTGTCTTTCCAAGCAGATAATAGTATCTTTTACTGGCTTTATAACTATTGCTAGATCATTGATATCTTGAAAAAATCCTCATTTATGCAAAATGATACTTTTAACTGCTTTATTTTGAATTATATCAAGATTTTTATTAATAACCTTAGAAATAAATATTATTAATATTAGTTAAAAATATAAAATTTAAAATATATTATTATTAAATTTACCTCTTTAAAAAAAATGTCATCTCTTTCACCTATACATCTTACGGTTATCTCAAACAACACCTCATAAAATTCCGAAACTCAAAACTGTGTTCCTTTTCAGCAAGAACTTAATAAAATTTCTCCTAGTCTTGTCTCCAAATACACCCAGGCATTTATCCCAGATGAAGAAAGCCAGGATAGTGACTCTGAACATCCTTCTACCAGACAAACTAAAGAAAAAAATAAGCGAAGAATTTTCTTCGCTACAGAATCCGGCACCCCATCTGATCATGATAAATGATTTTCTCTTCCATATCAAAATCTAGATGCATCTCGTCATGTCCCTTACTATTCCCTAACCCCTTTTCCTCCTGCCATGTATGGCAATTTTCCACCTTATCCCCATTACTCCCCCTTTCACATGTATAATTATGGTAACAGTAATTTTAATAACTCACCTAATCCAGAATCCAATAACGTGATTGATCGCCATCACATTAGAAGATCCCACACTACACAGCCCCACCAATCTAATCAGAAAATCTCTTCAGATAACTCCAAGTCTTCCACAAATCCAAAAGAAAAACTCTCATGAAAGAAATCTTCTTCCTATACCAATACTGCTAGATATACCTTGGGCAAACCAACTTACAATATCGCAAAAGATTATGATGTCTTTCTTTAAATAGATAGTGACTTTCCTCTCATATATGATATTTTGCAACTTTAACTCATCCCGGAAAATCAACTTATTTCCTCTTCTCATCTTCAATTTGACACTGACACATTTGGTGCCAAGCTAAAATACGCTTATAGTAAACGTACCTATCTAGAAGTTGCTTTTGCTTCTGAAGAATCTCAACTAAAATGGAAAGTTAAAATTCTTGTTATAGCTAACAAAAACCTGAAAGCTCAAAAAGCTTTCTCTAACCAAAAAACTTTCTTCTCTATCACTCTTTCTGGAGTTTCTCTCTTTTAAAGTGATGAAATTATCTCTACTATCAAAGAAATCTTCGATAAAATAGGAAAAGTAGCCGTTATCAAATCCAAACTCTGGGAAGGTACTTCTTTCTATTCAGACAAGTGGTCAGTTACCTTCGATACTACAACCCAAGAAGATCAACTTACCTTCTGTACCAAGATCCCTAGATCTATTAAAATCAAGTCCTCTAATGTTTTCGTAACCTGGAAAGCTGCTCCTTCTTTCTGCACTTTCTGTGGCAAATCAGGTCACAAAAGAGGTAACTGTAAGAATCTTTGAAATACTAGCATTTCTGTCAGAAATCCTAATTTTAATCTCCCCAAATCCCCTAACAACTCTCGTAAATAATAACCTTTTATCGAATAACCTTGGAATAATGACATATTACAAACTTAACAATTTCAGCCTTCAGATACGTTGACTGCAAAAACTGCTATTCTTCCCAAGAAGATTACTAACGTTAACACCAACCTCTCTTCCCCACAATAACCTTCAACCAATCATACATACACTACTTCCTCTTCCCAGGACGGTTCTAATCAACTCACCACTATCCAGGAAGAAACAGTAGAAATCGCAACCTCATTTAATAATGAACTAGACTTTCAACTTGTTCAAAACAGAAAATCTAAAAAGAAATCTTCTCAACCTCCCATCAAGCAATACAATACTTGGTCTAAAATCTCTCTTCCTAAATAAATCTCCAAATTGCTACTCTCAACGTGAAAGGCCTGGTCACCTCTCACAAATTCTCAAACATGGTCAATCTTCTTAAAATGTACAATCACATTGACATCTTCACTTTACAAGAAATCAATATTCAAAAACAAAACATCTCCTTTATTTCTAAAAAATGGCACTCATTCTCCTTCTGGACTCCTTACGTTACTATTCTAATTAACAATCACAACATCAAAGTCATCAATACCTTTTCAACAAATAAATGAAATCTAATCTTAAACTTTACTCTCAACTCTCATATCTTTAGAATTGAAACTGTTTATATTCCTCCAGACAGGAAAAGGAGGCTTTTGTTTCTCGATTCCTGATCCCCCTCTATCAGTAATGGCA